ATCCTGTCTAAATTGTCCCTAGTATGTGTATGTATGAATGTGAGTTAGGGACCTTAGATTGTACGCCCTTGAGGGTTAGGGACTGATGTGAATGTACAATATATAGGTAAAGTGCTGCATAAATTGACGGCACTATATAAGTACCTGTAATAATAATAATGTGTGCATAGTCCAGTAGACACCAGAGAATGACCACACTCTCCAGTGCACTCAGTTTTCAAAACTGACCTTGTCAGACACACCAGCTCGCTTCCCCTACACCAATTGATATGTGTGAGGATCCCTGTGCTGAGGGGTGTTGCCATTTCTCCTCTCTTCCAGCATAGAGCACTGAAGTAGAAGTACAGAGAAAAGACTGTTTAAGACATTTGAAAGCCAAAAACCAGTTGCCAGCTATAACAAGTGGTGGTACAGGACTGTAACAAGGAAAAACGTATGAGACTTTAACTGGCCTTTAACAATGAATAATTGAAAGTATATAAAAACAGTATACACTCACTGGCCACTTTATTAGGTCCACCTTGCTAGTACCCGGGTTGAACCCCCTTTTGCCTTCAGGACTGCCTTAACTCATCATGGCGTAGATTCAACGAGGTGTTGGAAACATTCCTCAGAGATTTTGGTCCAAATTGACATGAGTTACTGTTGCCTTTCTATCATCTCTAACCAGTCTGCCCATTCTCCTCTGACCTCAACAAGGCATTTTCATCCACACAACTGCAGCTCACTGGATTCTTTCTCTTTTTTGGACCATTCTCTGTAAACCCTGCAGATTGTTGTGTGTGAAAATCTCAGTAGATCAGCAGTTTTTGAAATACTCAGACCAAACCATCTGGCAGCAAACAACCATGCCATGTTCAAAGTCACTTAAATCCCCTTTCTACCCCCATTCTGATGCTCAGTTTGAACTTCAGCAAGTTGTCTTCACCACATCTGGATGCCTAAATGCATTGAGTTGCTGCCATGTGATTGGCTGATTAGCAATTTGTGTTACCAAGCTATTGAACAGGTGTTCCTAATAAAGTGGTGTACCTAATAAAGTGACCAGTGAGTATACATTCCCTTTCAAGTGGACCTTTCATGAAAAATGGAACATCTGCTTTTTCAGCAATCTGCTGCCATCTCAATACAAATTAATGTAACCTCTTTCCACTCATGTAACACATATGTACAGCAACAAAGAGGGTGGGCAGCAAATATGCATCCATGGGCTGCCGAGGTTTCTGTGCTTAGAACAAGCGCATTGAGCTGTCATAGACAGCTCCCAGTCTCCAATAATATTCAGGAGTTAGGGGGACCAGCTCCTGGTTATGTGACCATTGTGATAGCCAATAACATTAGTAACCTGATTGGGCAGTCCTTTCCATCCTCAGGATGTTAAAGACCCAGCTAAAGGGACGTCAGCTGAGTGAAAATGGGTTAAAAATCCATTTGTTAAAACAAACTGTTAACCCCAAAACAAGCAACTACTTACTTCCAGCCTTCAACCTCTTCCAGGAGGCATGCCTCCTGGCAAAGCTGGGAATTTGAGATCCCACGAGAATACACTCTTCCAAAGGCTTGCTGTAGAATCTTGCAGGATTTCGAGTCCCCCAGCCATGAGGCACAGTAGGGTCATCTGCCCCACCCAGAAATGTCGGCGACTGGGGCTGAGGTATGTATTTTTCTTTTTTTTGGGTAAATGGTAAGTTTACAAATGGGTGTTTTGTGTTGGGGGGCAGGGGACTGACAAATAAGGAGACGTTACTTTTTCCATTGAATATCTACTTCAAAGTATATATCTACCAACATTTTTTGTTTTAGATTTACTATATGGGAAGTGAGGGAAATCTCACAGAGATTTTTTTTTTTTTAGCAATGTTACATAGTTACATAGTTAGTCTGGCTGAAAAAAGACAAAAGTCCATCCAGTTCAAGCATTAAAAAAAAAATAAGTTATAATCCTATACCCACAGTTGATTCAGAGTAAGGCAAAAAAAAAACCAGCAAAGCATGATCCAATTTGCTCCTGCAGGGGAAAAAATTCTTTCCTGATCCCCCGAGAGGCAATCGGATATTCCCTGGATCAACTTTACCTATAAATGTTATATCCAGTTATATTCTGTGTATCTAAGAAAGAGTCCAGGCTTTTTTTAAAGCAATCCACTGAGCTGGCCAGAATCAACTCTTGAGGGAGTCTATTCCACATTTTCACAGCTCTCACTGTGAAGAAACCTTTCCGTGTTTGCAGATTAAATTTCTTTTCCTCCAGACGTAAAGAGTGCCCCCTTGTCCTCTGTGATGACCTCAGGGTGAATAGCTCTACACCGAGTTCACTATATGAACCACTGATGTATTATACATGGAGATCATATCCCCCTTATGTATTATACATGGAGATCATATCCCCCTTATGTTTTATACATGGAGATCATATCCCCCCTTATGTATTATACATGGAGATCATATCCCCCCTCATGTATTATACATGGAGATCATATCCCCCCTTATGTATTATACATGGAGATCATATCCCCCCTTATGTATTATACATGGAGATCATATCCCCCTTATGTATTATACATGGAGATCATATCCCCCTTTATGTATTATACATGGAGATCATATCCCCCCTTATATCCATATCCCCCCTTATGTATTATACATGGAGATCATATCCCCCCTTATGTATTATACATGGAGATCATATCCCCCCTTATGTATTATACATGGAGATCATATCCCCCTTATGTGTTATACATGGAGATCATATCCCCCCTTATGTATTATACATGGAGATCATATCCCCCTTATGTATTATACATGGAGATCATATCCCCCTTATGTATTATACATGGAGATCATATCCCCCCTTATGTATTATACATGGAGATCATATCCCCCTTATGTATTATACATAGAGATCATATCCCCCCTTATGTATTATACATGGAGATCATATCCCCCCTTATGTATTATACATGGTGATCATATCCCCCCTTATGTATTATACATGATGATCATATCCCCCCTTATGATCATACATAGAGATCATATCCCCCCTTATGTATTATACATGGATCATATCCCCCCTTATGTATTATACATATCATATCCCCCCTTATGTATTATACATGGAGATCATATCCCCCCTTATGTATTATACATGGAGATCATATCCCCCTTATGTATTATACATGGAGATCATATCCCCCTTATGTATTATACATGGAGATCATATCCCCCCTTATGTATTATACATGGTGATCATATCCCCCCTTATGTATTATACATGGAGATCATATCCCCCTTATGTATTATACATGGTGATCATATCCCCCCTTATGTATTATACATGGAGATCATATCCCCCTTATGTATTATACATGGAGATCATATCCCCCCTTATGTATTATACATGTTGATCATATCCCCCCTTATGTATTATACATGGAGATCATATCCCCCTTATGTATTATACATGGTGATCATATCCCCCCTTATGTATTATACATGGAGATCATATCCACCCTTATGTATTATACATGGAGATCATATCCACCCTTATGTATTATACATGGAGATCATATCCACCCTTATGTATTATACATGTTGATCATATCCACCCTTATGTATTATACATGGTGATCATATCCCCCCTTAATCTTCTCTTCTCAAGAGAGAATAAATTCAGTTCCTCTAATCTTTCCTCATAGCTGAGCTCTTCCATGCCCCTTATCAGTTTGGTTGCCCGTCTCTGTACTTTCTCCAGTTCCCCAATGTTCTTTTTGTGAATTGGTGCCCAAAACTGAACTGCATATTCCAGATGAGGTCTTACTAATGATTTGTACCGGGGGAAATGATATCTCTCTCTCTGGAGTCTATACTTCTTTTAATACAAGAGTGGATTTTGCTCGCTTTAGAAATAGCAGCTTAGCATTGCATGCCATTAGAATGTAGAAGGTTGCAATCCCTGGCAGCTTTTTTTATCTGCTGGAGAATTTTCCTCACTTCATCTCTGGTGAAACCATTGTTACTGTGACCTAAAGTTAGGATTAGCAGTAGAAACCCCACAGGGGTTCTTACCCTCCCCTACTTTACCCAAAACCAAAAGAAAGGTTTTAGTATGCCTATACTTTAAGATTCAGATACAAATGCAGTTTACAGATTTCCCAGAGTCAGTAGTGTTTTTCATTGTGAGGGAGGCTACCCATAAAATGGCCAGCACAGTCTTTGGTCTACCTAATCCGGGCACTTCAGCAACAATAACACCACAGTTCCTCCATTGTTATACTGATCTCGTTGCATCAAGAGGGATTTGGAAAGCAAAACAAGTTATTCCAGAGAAAGAATCACTGAAAACAGAGGAAATGAGCAAAGTGAAGAGAGAAAGGCTGCATAATCCAGACTAAGACATGTACAGGAACATGATTTGCAGGTTTTTGGAAAGGTTAGAATGATTCAAGTATATCTATAAATATGTTTTGTACTTTTGAATTGCACAGAGACTGGTTAAAATAGAAGTCCGGTTACATCATTTTTCATTTTAAATCCCCCCCCCCCCCCTTCTGTTAAAAAAAATTCCACTTTCTACCTACCTTCTACATGCAGCAGACCTCCTTGGTCTAGTCCTGGTCTGGCAGTCCTCTCGGGCAGGTCAACACTCGTGTGTCATTCTACCCATTGCCCTGTGAGCGCAGCCTATCGTTTACATGCCCATAGGAAGTGCATCATCATACAGAACATGCTCACAGTAATCCAGCACCAAGCAGTGCTCACGTGTGTGCAGCTCAGTCCTAAAAGCATGACTACCACTGAGGAAATGTTGGTAACTTCATTGGATTTGCATGAAGACTGCAGGAAAAAACATATATATAGGGTAAAAAAAACACCAGGAGAGGGGTTCAATCAATGGGTGGAGGCTTACATGCTTAGAGATCTACTTTGTAACCCGTTGTGGGTTTTTTGCCATCCATTTCTCATTCAAGGGCTATCCTTTTCGTTTCTCGTGGTGTAGACACAACAGTAAGTGAAGGAAATTTCTCCTTTGAAGGAAATTTCCTGTCACCAGAACCAGTTCCCCTTTGTACAAACTCCCCCTTATTCCTGCTCCGGTGACAACTCAAAATATTGGATTTTACCCCACTTTCTGTCCCAGCAACAGTAGTCACCAGGGCTATAGAGTATGCCATACAGAATGCAATTTCCATTCCTTTCACACACAGTGTTGATGGGGAAATCCCTCCCACAGCGCTATTGTGTTCTGCCAATAGGGAGACTTCCCTTCCGGCAGAACACAGTGATTAGTGTTGCTGGCTATTGGGGAAAATCAGAGAGGCTGGCTGTTCATAGATAGATCGAGTTGTATAAAACCAGGGAAACCCATACATAGATCGAAATTTGGCTGTTCCCTTCTGAACCAGACAAATGTTGACCCTTGTATGTCCAGCTTAACTGTTCACTACTGTATCTAAAACATTTGTCTTTTAATACACTTTAACTATACCAAGCATTTATTTTTATCTGACATGGCCACATCCGATATTGCTATTTTAGAAATGACTTACCCATCCTCACTTATAGTTGATGTACACCACTGCTGTGGCATTGTCTGAAGGAATCTGGGTCGGATGACCCTGCAATCAAGAGGTCCAGCACTCAAGGGATAACAAAATTCCACTAGTTCCACTATATTGATTGGAAGATGAGCTTCCACTGGTGACCAAGTCCCCTGCACGGAAAGGATGATTTTTGAAGGTCCAGAACCCAACTGAACTTCAGCAGATTCTGAACAGGCCTGTGCCGATTGTTTTTCAAAAGAGGGTCCAGGTTTCTCAGTATGGGGATGATGCCCTGTGAATGAAGTACAGGCACTAACACCTTGGTGAAGACCTGAGGTGCAGTGGACACACCAAAGTAAAGAGCAACAAACTGGTACTGTTGGAAGCCCACCACAAAAAAACAGGTATCATTGATGCGCTATAAAGATGGGGATATGCAATTAGGCATCTTTGATAACCACAGAGCCAAGTAGGTCCAAGTAGGTCCCTCAGATGAAGGGAAGCAATAATTGACCTGAAAGATTCCATAAAGAATTTTTGCACTTCAGATGCATGTAATGCCCTCCAGGTTAGTTAGATTTATATTTATTTATTTTGTTTTAGACAGAAGCTGAGTAGCAGCCTAGGGCTGGATCAGCCTGGGGTGTAAAGTAGCTAGGTTACCTCAGGACAGGATGGGAGGCTCTAATAGGTCAGAGCTTCTGGAGCCCTCCAACCTTTCCAGAAACCTGAGAGCTTTCTGGAAGAGGAGTGGATGAAGGGAGGAGGTCCAGATTTGCATGTTTGAAGGACCCTAGCCAATTCCCTGGCAGGAGGCTGGGCATGGTGACCAGAGCAACTCTCAAATGTGGCAGAGCCTGGGGGGGAGGTGTGCAGTGTCAGGTGAAAGATGGATTGAGAAAGGCTAGAATGTGGAGCCTGGTAGGGGGCCCCAGGGAGGGGGTCCCAACTACAGGCAGGTCGCTGGAAAAGAGGATATCCACTGCCTCAATGTCTCCCAGGGAGGATAGCCTGTGTAGCAGGGAAGGAGCCAGCCCAGCAAAGGCCTGAAAGCAGCTACCAACCCACCAAGCTAACAGGGGAGGACAGTGTGAGTATTCTTACACCCCCTGGGCCACAGTAGAGGAGATGACAGTCAGGTGCAATACCCAATTAGCTTCTCATCTGGGACTGTTCTAAATTAAAAACTGTTGGGTTCCCTTGCCCAGAATACCCTCAGTGCAGCTGGGTGAAGAGGAGGAATCATCCAGGGTCTGAGGAGGTACACTAGAAAGAGCCTTTAGTGCTCTTCAAGGAAAGACTGTTGCTATCCGCATTTTTGAACACAGTTGTTAAGAAGTTTGTCCTCAAGCCTTATACCTATATACCATATACCCCTAGACCCCATCCAAGTTCTTAACATCTTAATAAAATCATAAAACCAAGCTCAAGGACTGTTCATTGACTCCAGTGTGGAAATTGTGGAAAACCTAATCAAATCCAGCGGCCCTTACGAGGGTAGTGCTACATCCAGAATAGGGTAGATGCCCATTTTTGCATAGGAGACTGTGAATTCGTTTGAGTAGAAACCCTGAAAACTGCTCATCTTTTAGGATGTTGGCAGGCCTTACAATGTGAAGCAGGCATGGGTCGGGTTTAAAACTCTAGCTTATAGCTCCTACCATGTTCCCTACACATGCTATGCCCATAACCCCTACTTCCAGGATGTGTTCAGTTGAGGTAGCTAACAGATGTCCCCCACTTGGGGTAGTGGGATGTCCCCTCATTGTGGAAAGGTACTTGCTTTCATAACCTCTTTTGCTTTGGCAAATGGGTGCTTTTTTCCTTCAATGACATACTATGTAAAGTTGTCCAGAGAGGCACTCAGCATCAAATGACATGCACAATAGGCATTTCTTGACTGATGCAGCCAGGGGCGGACTGACAACTCAATAGAGGATCATGGGGCCCCTGTGTCCTTGCCCAAACTCAAAAAAGCCTATGAAAAAGGTACCAAGGGCATCTCATGGGGCCCTCTACTGACCCTAGGCCCTTGGGCAGTGCCCGAGTTTCCAAATGGTCAGTCCACCCCTGGATGCAGCATCTTAGCCTAAGGGTCTTCTGCATATGTACAGGTTGGAGGCTCATTCTAGATATTAGGTGTATGTTGTCCACAACTGTTGGGTTCCCTTACCCAGGAATACCCTCAGTGCAGCTGGGTGAAGAGGAGGAATCATTCAGGGTTTGAGGAGGTACACAAAGTAGAACAGGACAACAGGCATTAGGGCTGTAGCACAGTAAGCACATACCATGCTCCAAAAAAGCACGTCCCTGAGACTTACCACAGCGGTGGTCCAGAAAGTGCTCTGCAGCCTCCAAAGCTGGAGAATGCCAGAGCAAGACCCGGGAATAAGCCCCATCCAAACAGTCTTTGATCTCTCTGGTGGGCATACTCACTAAGCAGTCTTCAGGGACAGGGTTCCACTAGTGGATGTACCATGGCCTGGACCTGCAAGGAACCCTATGTCTTACTCACATAGTACCTGAGCTGCTTGGAAAGGATCTCATGCAGAGCCATGTGCTTCTCAAGCAGAGCCTAGTGCCCTAAGGTCACATTAGTGGCCATCCCCACATCTTTAGTATGGTGGGGTTTGGGTATACTGTAGCCTCCAAGGCTATGCTATGGATCAGCAAAACTAGACAAGTGCATAAAAGGGGATCTTAATAAAAGCAGAAAAAGATTTGTAGTAAGGGTTTGCTTCTCTCAGAGCAAGAATACTTCCATCCTCCTAAGACACTAAGACACTAGCATCAAACTGGAGTATTATGGGAGTAGTTGGGGTATATCTGGCTGAGTAGATTTGTTTGCTAGTGTCCAAACTCCTGTAGGCGGCAGTAAAACCCTCTGGTCTCAGAATTATCCATGTGTCCCCCAATGAACAGTAAAATAAATCTAGATTTTAGGCATTTATATTAGCAGTATTTTAAAATATATTTAAGGATTTATTAAAGAGTACATAGGTGTATTAAATTGTGCCTTGTGCTTTATGCTGTCTTTAAGTTGTTTTAACTGGCTATTTTAGTTTCCCTCAGCAAGTCTCCAATGATTAATTAAACCATTCAATTGTATGTGGAGCAATAAAAATCCATACAGTAAGCCTATAACCCTTTCAGAATGTACTGGATATGTCAAAGCTTGCCCTTCAGCTCCCATTCCCACTTCACAAATTGTTCGAAATGTTAACAACGGCGGCATTTAAAGCCTGAGGATTTACCATCTCAGTGGAGTTTACAGGGTCTTTATGGTGATTGCATGACAGATCTGAGGTCAAACTGATTCAGAAAATGTGGCTTGGAACAAGAGATGGATTTATGATTGCCAAAGTGAAGTCCACATTGAAATAGGAAGCCACAAGAGGACCTAACTGACTAGTATATTTCTATAGCAGGCAATTTGAATAACTAGATGTCCCTGGACTGAAAATCTTTCCGTATTTGTAAAGGTGAGCTCCAAGCAGATATAGAACACAAATTGATGCAGCTCTCTATTCAGTTATAAATCATTAAATGTATTTTTAATTGATCTCAGTTGGTATCATTCCTTTGCAGTCCCTTTACAAAGGAGATCAGGTTGGTGAAGGGGCACTCAGCACAAGGACAGTTGTGTGTTGCAGTGCTAACAAGGGGCATGCTGATAGGAGGAGAGAGCAGAGTGGTTGAGAGATGAGCTCATAGGTCTGCTGATTCTCCTTTTACTGTCCAAATACATGTAGCACCCTCCTAGATAGCTAGGTGGAGCTAGATCCTAATTGTTAGGCAGAGTAGCAGCCTGGTGCAACAGTGAGAGGGACATCAAATTGTGGTCAGGGCTGAGAGGCTCTGCAGACCAGCTCTTCTGGAATTCACCCCTGCTCTAGAACTTTGGAGGAAGGTTTAGAAGCAATGGGTGGATCTGAGGAGTGCCTAGTTTGTACTCTTAGGGGATCCTGGCCAATCCCCAACAGGAGGGCTAGGACAACCCTTTAAGAGTAGCTGAGCCTGCTCAGCAGCAGGAGAGTTCAGGTGGAAGAGAGAGAGAAGGATGTGAGGCTGGAGGCAGGAGCCTGTGAGGGGGCCCAGGTGGGAAAGTGGCTCACCTGCAGGCAGAGGACCTTGGAAGGCTTAAAACATGGGACTTCACCGGCCCCAAGCCAGAGGACCACCTCTGTGACAGGGAAGGAGCCGCCCAGCTAGAAGGCCTGGTAGCAGCCACCGAACCACCGGCAGCACAGGAGAGGGACCAAGTGAGTAAACCTGCACTCCCTGGGCCAGTAAAGGGAAAGGAGCACTCTGGGGAACTGGAATTGCTATCTTACCCGGAACTGTTTCACACTGCAGTGATGGGCACTGGATCCCCTGCCCAGGGATTCACCCAGTACACCTGGATGAGGAGAGGAGTCATCTGGGGTCTGGGATGGTACTACAGGAGATGATGGCTAACTCTCAAAGATACATTTTTGCTGTAAAGACTGTACATAGTTGCTAAAGAATTTGTCCACAGTTGCCATTCTCTTAGGCATCCCATACACCCCCTC